CGTGGCTGGCGCCTTAGCCGGTTGAGCTATAGGCGCCGAGCCTACAGTGTCTCTTGAAATCATTCCTGCTTTCCAATTTCTCTACTGCCAATTATCATCACCACAAAACTGGACTATATAGCTTCATAATTAGTCTACTCTTCTGTCTCTTTTCTCTAGCCACACTGGATTTCACCAACAGATTAATTTTCCTAAAATCATACTATCACCATATTTCCTTTTCCAACACCTTTGATGGCTTCCTCCATTCCTGAAGAATAAAATCTACTTCTTGGTCTGGTATATAAATCCCTCTATAATAAGATTTTGCACTTATCTTTCCAACTTGGTGTCCAAGCACTCCTTATAGAAACTCTGAATTCTAGCCTACAGTCACCTTCCTCATTCTCCCCCAACCCCACCCATTTTTCTTTTTTCTTTTTCTTGAGACAGAGTCTCACTCTGTTGCCCAGGCTAGGATGCCATGGTCTCAATGCAACCTCAAACTCTTGGGCTCAAGTGATCCTCCTGCCTCAGTATTCCCAGTAGCTAGGATTACAGTTATGTACCACCACATCTGGCTAATTTTTCTATTTTTAGCAGAAACAGGGTCCTGCTCTTGCTCAGGCTGGTCTGATCTAAGCTCAAGGGATCCTTCTGCCTCAGCCTCTCAGGGTGCTAGGATTACAGGTATGGGAGCTACTGTGCCTAGCCAGTCTTTCCCTCTTCTAAACTCTAAAAAGAGAAACTATGCATCCTACATATTTGGAATATAATAAGCACATATAGGTCAGTTGTGCTAAGAGGAAATGATCTGTTTTTTTCTCTTACGCTTTTCACATGGAATATTCTAAAAGACAGTATTCTTTTCATCTTCTACTCTGAGTGGACTCTTGGAGGACCTGACTATTCATATGAATTTTCTTTTTCTTTTTTTATTCCTGCTTCCCATCATAATATAAAATTACTTCAGAATATGAAAAATAACAACAAATTAAAATTAATCAAATGCATAATCAATTCTCCTCCCAATACTAATTACAGATTGGACTGCAATGCTTACCTCCTCATGGGTCTCAGGTGGCAAAACATTTCTGAATATTTATGTACATCAACTTCCAGACATCCATTAATTGCTTGAAAGGTCAAGAAGATACCACAAATGAACAAGTAGAATTTAAAATTAAGAACATATTATTGTATTATCTCAAATTATGAAATACTTATATATTAATATTAATCTAACAAAATATGTGTAAGATCTATGTGAAGAACATTATAAAATTCTGATAAAAGAAATCAAAGAACTAAATAAATGGAAAGATATTCCAAGTTCATGCATAGGAAGACTCAATTCTTGTCAAGATGTCAGTTCTTTCCAACTTTGTCTAGATTCAATGCAATCTCAATTAAAATCTCAATAAGTTATTTTGTGGATATTGATAAATGGATTCTAAAATTTATAATGAGAGTCAAAAGATCCAGAAAGTAGCCAACTCAATACTGAAGGAGAATGAATTAGGAGGATTAACGCTACCTGATTTCCAGATTTACTCTAAAGCTACAGTAATCAAGATAGTATGGTGTTAGTAAAAGAACAAATAGACCATAGAACAGAACAGAGAACCCAGAAATAGACCCACATAAAGTCAACTGATCTTTGACAAAGGAAGAGCGGCGATCCAACGAAGCAAAGATAGTCTTTTCAACAAATGACACTGAATACACATAGAAAAATATTAACCCAGACACAGATCTTCTATTCTTCATAAAAATTAATTCAAAATGGATCATAAACCTAAACATAAAATGCAAAATTAACAGATAAAAAATAACAAAAGAAAAAAGTTATGATTTAAAAAAAATAATTAAAAAAAAATAACAAAAGAGAAAACCTAGATGACCTTGGGTATGAAGAGGACTTTTTAGATACGATGCCAAAGGCATAATACATGAAGAAAATAAGTTGGACTTCATAAAAATTGAAAACTTCTGCTCTGCAAAAGGTAACTGTCAAGACAATAAGCCAGGCTACACAGAGAAAATATTTGCAAAAGACAGATCTGATAACAAACTGTTATCCAATATATACAAAGAACTCTTGAAATTCAACAGGAAGAAAAAATGTGATTAAAAATGGATGAAGGACCTGAACAGACACCTCCCCAAAGACACAAAGATGGCAAATAATCATAAGATATTCAACATCCCATGTCATCAGGGAATTACAAATGAAAACAGTGAAGGACCACTATACACCTATTAGAATGATCAAAATCCCAAACACTGACAAGACCAAATACTGGAAAGGATGTGCAGCAACGGGAACTCTCATTCACTGCTAGAGGGGTACAGAATGGTACAGCTGCTTTGGAAGACAAGTTAGCACTTTCTTACAAAACTACTCTTACCATACTATCTAGCAACTGCACCCCCTATAATCTTCTGAGTGAATTGAAAACTTACATCCTCACAAAAACCATGGGATGTACATGGATATTTATAAAAGCTTTATTCCCAACTATCAAAACTGGGAAACAATCAAGATGTCCTTTAGCAGGTGAACAGGTAAATAAACCCTAATATATCCAGACAACTGAATATTAATTACTCAGGCTAAAACAACAACAGAAAAGCTATTGAGCCATGAAAAGACATGAAGAAACTTAGAAGCACACTGTTAAGTGAAGAAATCAATCTGTAAAGGCTACATACTATATGATTCCAAGGATATATATGATATGCTAGGAAAAGCAGAAAGTATAAAGACAGTATAAAGATGAGTGGCTGCCACAGGTCAGTGGGAAGGGAGGGATAAAAAGGCAGGGTACAGATTTTTAGGGCACTGAAACTACTCTGTATGATACTACAATGGTGGAAAAGTCATTGTACATTTGTCAAAACCCTTAAAATGGGCACTTTCAAACAACAATGGACACATCAATTTATTTTTTGGTTGACTGGTGCAGCAAGAGTTTCTTGAATACAGATTATAGGTATTCATTTAAATGTCAAAAAGGTGGCTCAGTGCCTGTGGCTCAAATGGCTAAGGCGCCAGCCACATACACCTAAGGTGGCGGGTTCGAATCCAGCCCTGGCCCACCAAAACAACAATGACGGCTGCAACCAAAAAAAAAAAAAAATAGCCGGGCGTTGTGGCAGGCGCCTGTGGTCCCAGCTACTTGGGAGGCTGCTGCAGGAGACTCGCTTGAGCCCAGGAGTTGGAGGTTGCTGTGAGCATAATGTCATGGCACTCTACCCAGGGGGATGGCTTGAGGCTCTGTCTCAAAAAAAAAAAAAATGTCAAAAAGGTGATTTTATTTAACCATTCATATTGATGGTTAAATTTGTTTGAGACAAATAAACAAATCCAGAAAATACTTCTACCACTGTGAGGATTTTTCAGATCAAATGGAGATATAATAAGAAAAAAACAACCATTTGGACTATTTGAAGTTTCAGTGCTATCAGTAAGGGACTGAATTCTCATCAAACTTCATCATCAAATAACTGGCATAAACTTAGTTAAGATAGCACAGGTGCAAGGCTCAAAGCTTGTAAAGAAAAAAGATTAGAAGAATTACATATGCAATCTGTAACAATGGCTATCTCTAGGTGGTAGAGTATTAAATGTTTTAAATTTTTTAAATTTCCTAGTTTGCTTACAATGAAGATGTGAAATATGTTTTTTGTTGTTGTTTTGAGACAGAGTCCACTCTGCTATTCTGGCTAGAGTGTCATGGCCTTAGCCTAGCTCACAGTAACCTCAAATTCCTAGGCTCAAGTGATCCATTTGCCTTATCCTCCTGAGTAACTGAAGATACAGGCACACACCCCTCGTGCCTGGCTAATTTTTCTATTTTTAGTAGAGAAGGGTTCTTGCTTTGCTCAGGTTGGTCTTAAATTCCTGAGTTCAAAAGATCTTCCCACTTCTGCCTCTCAGAGTTCTAGGATTATAGGTGTGGGCCATTGTACATGGCTGTAAAATATGTTCTTAAAAAAAAATTCTTTTAACATACAAATTAAAGAAGAAAATTAGTCTAGAAGGAAATGAGTGTTTTTCATTCAGCCCCCAGCCCTGAGAAGTATATCTAAGAATAGGATTGTGGTCCTAATTTAGCTCAAGAAGAAAGAGCTCCCCACATTCACACTTAAAAGATTTCATTTTTTATATTACCATGAAAATTTATACCATTTAACTGCAAAGGTATACTAATGAACCGGGTAAAGCTGAGGATAAGAAACAAGGAATAATATTTGAGAGGCACCTGATCAGCTAAAAATACAAATGGGAAGCAGATAAAATAATATGCAGCCAAAATGTAATTAAACAGTATCTGTTATTCAGCATAGAATGATCCTATAAGTTTGTAAAAAAGCCTTGAAAAGCCAAACTGCTGAATAGCAAAGCTGCATTTAGGCTTATGATTGCAACAATGTGACATGGTTTTAACTTTTTTTTTGCAGTAGTATCTTAGAAGTTCATGAAATTGAAATGCCTTCATCTGATGAATAATGTAGTGATCCAAATGACATGCTCTATTCATTTTTGCACACAAAAGACATCAGTAACAAAACATAACACTAAAAGACACTGTTATAACTTATTTGAACTTTAAAAATGCTTTGAATTTTGAAAGTTAAGCATATTTTTAAGGTATGCTTTTATAAAAGACAATAAAAAATCTGAAACCAAGTGGGTGCAATGGTGAGCATGTAGTCCTAGCTACTCAGGAAGGCTGAAGTGGATCACTTAAGCCCAGGAGTTCAAGGCCATCCTAAAATGACACAGTGAAGCATTCCACCCCTTGCCTTGCCCTCCTAAAATCAATCAATCAGTCTGAAACCAATTTAGAAAAGACCAGGTGCATATTTTGATTCATAAAGAATTTTTAGAGACAGGCAGCTAGGCTACATTGTTCAAAGCAGCTTATATGATTTAAGAGTTAGCGCAGAATTAGTCTCCAAAGAATTACTTACACAGCAAAATATCAAAAATTAGAGAATGTCTCTGCTACGGTTTAAATGTTTATATCTCCCAAATTTGTATGTTGAAACCCAAGCACTAGTATGATTGTATTAGGAGGTGGGCCTTAGGAGATGATTAGGGCATTACTGCCCATATTTAAAAAGGCCCCAGGGAGTTGCCTAACCCTTTCCTCTGTGTTAGGTTACAGCAGGAAGACAGGCCCTCACCAGACACTAAATCTACAGACACTTTGATGTTGGATTTTTCAGCTTCACAACTATAAAAAATAAATTTCTGTTA